TCTCTCTCTCTCTCTCTCTCTCTTCTCCTCCCTCTCTCTCCCTCTCTCTTCCTCTTCCTCTCCCTCTCCCCCTCCCCCCCCCCACCCCCCCGCCCCCCCCCCCCCCTCCCCCCCCTCTCTCTCTCTCTTTTCTCTCTCTCTCTCTCTCTCTTTCTCTCTCTCTCTCTCTCTCTCTCTCCTCTCTCTCTCTCTCTCTCTCTCTCTCTCTCTCTCTCCTCTCTCTCTCTCTCTCTCCTCTCTCCTCTCTCCCTCTCTCTTTCCTCTCTCTCCTCTTCCTCTCCCCTCTCCCCCCCCCCCCCTCCCCCCTCCCCCCCCCCCCCCCCCCCCCCCCCCCCCCCCCCCCCCCTCTCTCTCTCTTTCTCTCTCTCCTCTCTCTCTCCCTCCCTCCCTTTCTCTCTCTCTCACTTTCTCCTCTTTCTCCCTTCTCCTCTCTCTCTCTCTCTCTCTCTCTCTCTCTCCTCTCTCTCTCTCTCCTCTCTCCCCCTCCCTTTCTCTCTCTCTCCCTTTCTCTCTCTCTCTCTCTCTCTCTCTCTCTCTCTCTCTCTCTCTCTCTCTCTCTCTCTCTCTCTCTGTGCGTGTGTGTGTGGGGGGGAGGTTGGCTTGGACGTCGTTCCGTGGCGATGCCCTCCCTCCCTCCGTCAGGAAATCGTCCCCGCGGCCCGTGTGCGTGAGGAGGATCTTTGTCTCGCGGCCGGTGGGGGTGGGGTGGGGAGGGGTGCCAAGGGAGGGAGCAAGGACCAGGATGCAGGAAGGCGGATTTCGGATAAAGGAAGGCCTTGCATGCACGCGCCAGTAAACGCACTCACTCTTATTCTCACTCTACTTTCTCCCTCCTTCCCTCCCCCTCTCTCCGGCGCCCTCCTCAGCGCACATGCTGACACTTATTCTTGATAGCCCCGGCGCGGTGCACACGCTCTGTGTCAGCTGCGTCAGGAGAGTGTCAGCTATGTCAAGCCTGCTTAAACGTCAGCGATTAACTTCCAGTCGTTGGAGGAAATTCATGTACTTGGAGATGACGACAGCCGCGCCGGGAGATCGCTGCTATTTTTCCTTTAATCATCGCTGTCATTTCTTCCTTTTCTTTGTTTGTCTTTTAGGCGGGATTAGTTTGAACTTACTTGGGTGTTCGCGTTGGTGCCTTTATGTATATATTTATTGCTTATTAATTTATCTATTGTTTCGTATTTTTAACAAATAGGCGGGATGTAAGTGTGAAAGGGGTTGGGGTTTGGGGGGGGGGTGACGTCTCTCGCGGAATCGGTGCCATATTTTAGACGGGGTTGGCACTCTACGTAAGAGTATAAGTGGGCGGGGAGGCGTTTCTGAGTAAGCGTGTGAGTGAGTGAAATATTGAGTGAGTGAAAGTGAATGCACTCTAGCAGCATATGAGATAAGTTTATGCTATCTTGAATAATGGCCGTTGCAAATACTCAGAGCCATATACAGTATTAGTACGTCCGCAGCGAGTGTCCGTGTACACGCACGATGCTCTTGTCCCGCGAAGGAGGAATGGCCGGGACTTATTTTTATGCGTCCAGTGTCGGTGAGGGCCGCCGCGCGTGGACGAGGCTGAGCATTCGTCTGGATGTCGGGGATTTGGTCTGTTTATGACGGGTGCTTTCTTGCTTTTTCCTCTTTCTCGCAATATATATCTTCTCTCCCTCCGTTTCAGCCTCCTCCTCCTCCTCCTCCTCTTCCTCCTCCTCCTCCTCCTCCTCCTCCTCTTCCTCCTCCTCCTCGTGCTGCTCCTCCCTCCCTCCTCCCTCCCTCCTGTCCCTACTCTCTCTTTCCCTTTTCCTTTTCCTCGTACCCTCTCCTCCCCCCTCCCCCCCCCCCCCGCCCTGCCTCATCTGCATCGTGTCTTCATCCCCTCTGCCCTGCCAGAGGCCCGAGCAGTCCTGCAGGCGGTGCAAGCTCAGAGCTGGACATGTGCTCCAGTACCAGCTGCGGGGATTCAGGGGATGACCTGTTGCTTTTGCTCGCCCGTGACTCGTCGACGCGGGTCTGCAGACGAGGCAGGATTTCAGTAATAAATTATGGAGGAAAGAGGGAGAAGAGAAAGAAAAGGAAGATGTATGATGGGGAGTATGGAAGTGGAAAGGAGAGAGCGGGGATAGAGAAACAGAAAGAGAAAGGTGTGGAATCTAGGAATGATGTGTAGACAAAAAAGAGGAAGAAAAAAAGATCATCGAATAAAAATAACTGAACACGAAAGAAGCATGAAACATAGAGATAAGAAAGAATGGAACATGGCGCAACGAAGTGGAGAAAGGTTCCTCGGGAAACAAAGAGTGAAAGGGAGGAACACCTATCGTCCTGCCCCCGTTTGTGCAGGAGCGTCGCTGAGGCCGCAGCCGGACGGATTGCTGGAGGTAGGGACACGGGAGGGAGGGGGAGGGAGGAAGGGAGGAAGGGAGGGAGGTTAGTAAGTAGGTAGGTAGGTAAAGGGAAAGGGAAAGGAGGAGAGGAGGAAGGTGGAGGCAGAAGAGAAGAAAGGAGCGAAGAGGAGAGAGGAAAGAGAGAAGCAGTGACGCAAAACTAAATAAAGAAACGAAGGAAGAGGGGAGAATAAAGGAGAGGGAATAAAGAAGGAGAATGGAAGTCATATAAAAAGGTAAATAGAGAAAAAAAAATACATAAATAAAAAGAAAGATATAAATAAATAAATTGGAGTGTTGGGGGAATTGGGGGGTCGGGGGGGAGGAAATGCCCTCGATATACCAACCGAAGCGTCAGTCTCGTTGGAAAATTGTGAATAAGGAGAAAAAAAGGCCAGAGGGAAGAAATAGTCGACCAGAATGAGAAAGGGCGTGGCGGGGGGAGGAGCATAGGTGGTTGGCAGCAAGAAGAGGTCATGGTCTTGCAACCCCCACACCCCCCTTAAGCCCGTCCTTCCTTACCCCCTCTCCCTCTCAACCCATCCCCCTCCCCCTCCCCTCCACCTGTCCATACCCCCCCCCCCCTCCACGAACTTCCGGCTTCCGGTGACCTCGGCGGGGCTGGTTCGCGCGCCCTTCTTGGGGACCGTGGGATTTTTGCATAAATCATTGGGCGTTTTTATCTGTGATAACGATTTTATATTACTGTCATTAATATTAATGTAGTGGTGGTGGGGGTGATTGGCGTGGTGTCGTGAGGGAGATTGAGGAGGAGGGGGGGGAGGGGGCGGTGTTGGTGGCGAGGAGGAGGAGTTGCTGTAGTTCTTTGTTGTCTTTGTTGCTGTTTTGCGGGTACTGTTGATAATGATTGTCATTGCTGCCATCATTACAAGTATCATATATCATTTTACTCTAAAACATTTTCCCATTGATATGGTAATAGACGCCCGTTCTGCCTTATGCAATTGATGCTGGTTTTCTAAACGAAGAATTACACCGTCATAGTCATCATCTCCAACATTGGCAGCTGCTGATGATGGTGGCGATGACTCATCCTTACTCCGATCAGTCACGCCTTTCACCATTAGCATCCTCATCATTATTCATTCGCCATTAGCCCCCCTCATCAATTACCGCTTCTATTATCACCACCACCACAGGCGCCATCACAGCCATTGCCACCGCCACCTCCACCACATTCACCACCATTGCCGTCACCACCACAAGCACCACCATCACCACCACATCCACCACCAACACAATCACCACCATCGCCGTCACCACCACAATCACCGCCAGCGGGCGGCCCGTCCCAGCAAGCAAGCAAGCAGTCCGAGGCGAGCGGAAGGCTTTCCCTCCGCCGCCCAAGGGACCCGCGCGACCCCACGGAAGCGGGCCAACAGGAAGTCAAGGGAAAGGAAGGGAAGGGAAAGGAAGGGAAGGGAAGGGAAGGGAGGGAAGGGAGGGAAGGGAAGGAGGGAAAGGAAGGGAATGAGGAAGGAAGGGAAGGAGGGAGGAGGGAAGGAAGGGAAGGGAAGGGGGAGAGAGGAGACTAGGAGGGAGAGGAAGGAAGGGAGGAGGGAAGGAGAGAGGGGAGAGAAGGAGGGAGGGATGAGGAAGAGGAAGGGAAGGAAGGAAGGAAAAGGGCGAGGGGGGTAAAGAGGGAAGGAGAGAGAGAGAGGAACGAATGGAAGGAAGAAATATAAATAGGAAATAATAGAAGGTAATGAGAAATCAGAGGGACAGGTGCGAAGAGAAATATCGATAATCGGAGAGAGAGAGAGCGAGAGGAGGAGGAGGAGGAGGAGGAGGAGGAGGAGGAAGGAGGAGGAGGAGGAGGAGAGGAGGAGGAGGAGGAGGAGGTCGGTGACTCCCCCCCCCCTCCCAAAACGGGGGGGAGGGGGAGGAAGGAAGAGGGAGAGGGATAGAGAGAGACGAGGTCGAGGTCAAGGGGGAGGTCACGGAGGACGAGCAGAGAGACAGATGAGACTTACCCCACCCCCTCTTCTCTACTCGATAGTTCCGGACTGAGGGAGTGGAAGAGAGAGAATGGGAGAAAGAGGAATGAAGAGAGGAGAGAAGAGAGAAGGGAATAAGAATACAAAGAGATAGAAGAAGACGAAGGGAGAAGAAAGGAGAGCGAGAGATAGCGAAGAACAGAAAAAAAGAGAAGGAAAGAGAGAGAGAGAGACAGAGACAGCCCCCCCCCCCCCCCCTTCTTCTCTTACTTCGATAGTTCCGGACTGAGGGAGTGGAAGAGAGAGAATGGGAGAAAGAGGAATGAAGAGAGGAGAAGAAGAGAGAAGGGAATAAGAATACAAAGAGATAGAAGAAGACGAAGGGAGAAGAAAGGAGAGCGAGAGATAGCGAAGAACAGAAAAAAGAGAAGGAAAGAGAGAGACAGAGACAGAGATAGAGACAGAGACAGACAGAGACAGAGACAGACAGACAGAAAGAAGAAGGAGGAGAGACAAGAGAAGAGAGAGAGAGAGATAGTGAATAATAGAAATAAGAGAAGCAGGGAGGCAGAGACAGAGATAAAAGATCGAGATAAAAGAGAGAGAGAAAAAAAAGATCAAGATAAAAGAGAGAGAGAGAGAGAGAAAAGATCAAGATAAGAGAGAGAGAGAGAGAGAGAGAGAGAGAGAGAGAGAGAGAGAGAGAGAGAGAGAGAGAGAGAGAGAGAGAGAGAGAATGAGAACGAGAACGAGAGAGAGAGACAGGAGAGGAGAGAGATATATCCTTTCTAAACAAGCGTCAGGTGCAGGTGTTATCGCAGGCTTTTCCTACCCTCCCCCCCTCGCCCCTCCCGACTCCACTCTCTTCCCCCCTCTCCCTTGCCTCCCCCCCCCCTTTCCTCCTGCAGGCAGCCCCACAGGTGTTCTCCCTCGGCGGGGAATCGCGGTTTGTCCAACTGCCTAATGAACGCGCTTTTTCGTTCTCCGCCCGCCGTTGGGGTGCAGGGGATGGAGGGCGGTTAGGTTGGGGGGAGGGAGGAGGTAAGAGGTAAGGGAGGGATGGGAATGGGGAAGGGGGGCGGGGGAGGAGGAGGGAGGAGGTAAGAGGTAGGGGAGGGTAGAGATAGGGGACTGGAGAAGGAGCAAAGGGAAGTAGAGGTGTGTGTGTGTGTGTGTGTGTGTGTGTGTGTGTGTGTGTGTGTGTTTTGTGGAGAGAAGCCTGGAGGGACAGAGAAAGCGAGAGGCGCGAACGGACGACCGACAAGAAATGGATAAATAGGAGACAAGAGCGTCATTTTCAGCGCCATGCGGAAAAGGCGGTGAAAAAGTAACGGCAGATTAAAAGACGGAAAAGACCAAATAGAATAATGAGGTTCGATTTTCGAGCGAAGTCCAAGTGCATGCCTGAGTCATCTCGCCTCCGCCTCGGATGCTTGTTGGAGTAACCTTGATTTCGGTGAAGGGAGCTGTAGGCATAGAGCTGCGCGCCTGTTCTTGTTTTTCTGTCGTTGCTGCCTCTCTTTTGTTTGTTTATTGATTTGTTTGTTTATTAATAGAGGGGAGATGCCGGGGAGAAAGGGATGCATGAAGAGTGACTGGAATAGAAGATACGAGATAGCTTTAAATGGGAAAGGGCGAGTTATATGGTAGCCGTTAAATTGAACGCGTGTTTTTCTTCGCATCATCACGACCATTTCTATTATTATTGCTCGTTTTCCTGCCTCACCTGGTCGTTTCCTCCCGATTAGGAGCGGCAGTTTCCTCGAGGTGCAGTAGAGCACCCAGTGGTCCCGCTGGCCCTGGACCTGCAGGATTCCGAGGGGGCGGGGGGGGGGAGTAGAGGGGGAGTGAGGGTGGGGGTGTGGGGTCGATGGGGGTGAGGGTGGGGTTGAAAGTGGACCAAGGCGAGGAAGCGCGTGTCTCATCCGGACTGGCCCGGCGATGCAATCCGTCCGGTTCTGCAATTGCAAAGCGAGGCAGTTGCAGCGGCACATTTTCGCGCATGATGGTGGGGGGGGGGGGGCGAGGAGGGAAGGATCAGGTTGATTGCTTTCTTAGTTGTTTGTTTCGGCTGATTGGTTGTGTGTTTGTTCGTGTTTGTGTGCAGAAGGGCGACTCTTGGTTCCGGCCGCCTGCGTTGTGCGCTGGGCTTCCCTCTGGAGTCCAGGGGCGGGTCCTCCTGATGACGAGTGGGTCAGAAAGGAAGGAAAAGGGAACTCGTGAAATGAGGGGGGGGGGGGGGGGCAGAGAGAAGAGGGAGAGAGGGAGAGGCGACTCCCCCGTAGAACCGGATACGGCGAGGGCATCGGCGAGCGCGGCGTTGCATCCCGCAATCAGCTAATCACGAGGCCGGTCATTAGGCTCGAGACTCAGGCGCCGTGTAATCGGTTGCCCGGCCCTCGGGGGTCGTCACTCTGGCGCTCCTCCGCTTTCGTTAGCTTTTTTTCTTTTAATTATTTCTTATTCTTCTCTCTCTCTCTCTCTCTCTCTCCCTCTCTCTCTCTCTCTCTCTCTCTCTCTCTCTCTCTCTCTCTCTCTCTCTCTCTCTCTCTCGTTTCATGAGTATTCTGTCCTCTCCTCTTTCCATTCTCTCTCTCCTTCCCCCTTACCAATTCTCTTCTCTTTCCTCTCCTCCTTCTTATATCCTCTCCTTCCTCCCACCCCACGTTGAGGTTGTCGGGGAGGGGGGGAGTGAGGGAGGGAGGGAGGGAGGGAGGGAGGGAGGGAAGGAAGGTCTCAATGAGAGGGAGGGAACAGGATGAAGGTGATGTAAGAGAAGGGAGGGAAGGGGAAAGGGGGGAAGGGAGGGAGCGAGAGAAGGGAAGGTAAGCGAGATGAAAGGGAGGGAGAGGGAGATGGGGGAGTAGGTAGGGAGTAGAGGCACGAAGGCCAAAGGAAGAGAACGGGAGCCTAGGAAGTGGCAGAAGGGGGGGGGGGGGTGAAGTAGGGGGATCCTTTATCTCTTTCCATGGCTGGGCATCGCCAGTGAATAGGCAGGCGAGGGGGGAGGTAGCAATCGAAGAGAGGAACGGGAGGGGGGGGGACGGGCTTTATGGGTTTTAAGGGCGGGTGGGGTTGGGGGGGGGGATGCGTTCACAGGTGCAGGTTACAGGTGTTTGTATCTTCCCTCTGCCACTCCTTCAATCTCGATCTCTCTCTCTCTTTCTCTTTCTCTTTCTCTTTCTCTTTCTCTTTCTCTCTCTTTCTCTCTCTCTCTCTCTTTTACTCTCTTTTACTCTTTCACTCTCTTTACTCTCTCCTCCCCTCCTCTCCCCTCCCCTCCCCTGCTCACTACTCCAGTCCCTCCCTCCCTGCTCTCCTTCTATCTCCCTCTGTTTGCCATTCTCTCCCCCTCTCCTCTGTCTCCCTCTCTCCCTGTCCCTCCCTTTATTCCCCTTTTTCCTTGGCCGGCCTACCTCGGATCCAAGGGTTGGCTGTCATATATGGTACCGCGGCCTGGTCACCTTGAGCCGCGATTTCGGTGCCACCTGTTGTTGTCACAGCTGTGCACCCCCCCCCTCTCTCTCTCGTTTCATGAGTATTCTGTCCTCTCCTCTTCCATTCTCTCTCTCCTTCCCCCTTACCAACTCTCTTCTCTTTCCTCTCCCCTTCTTATATCCTCTCCTTCCTCCCACCCCACGTTGAGGTTGTCGGGGAGGGGGGAGTGAGGGAGGGAGGAGGGAGGGAGGAGGGAGGGAAGGAAGGTCTCATTAAGGAGGGAACAGGATGAAGGTGATGTAAGAGAAGGGAGGGAGGGAGGGAGGGAGGGAGGGAGGGAGGGAGGGAGGGAGGGAGGGAGGGAGGGAGGGAGGGAGGGAGGGAGGGAGGGAGGGAGGGAGGGAGGGAGGGAGGGAGGGAGGGAGGGAGGGAGGGAGGGAGGGAGGGAGGGAGGGAGGGAGGGAGGGAGGGAGGGAGGGAGGGAGGGAGGGAGGGAGGGAGGGAGGGAGGGAGGGAGGGAGGGAGGGAGGGAGGGAGGGAGGGAGGGAGGGAGGGAGGGAGGGAGGGAGGGAGGGAGGGAGGGAGGGAGGGAGGGAGGGAGGGAGGGAGGGAGGGAGGGAGGGAGGGAGGGAGGGAGGGAGGGAGGGAGGGAGGGAGGGAGGGAGGGAGGGAGGGAGGGAGGGAGGGAGGGAGGGAGGGAGGGAGGGAGGGAGGGAGGGAGGGAGGGAGGGAGGGAGGGAGGGAGGGAGGGAGGGAGGGAGGGAGGGAGGGAGGGAGGGAGGGAGGGAGGGAGGGAGGGAGGGAGGGAGGGAGGGAGGGAGGGAGGGAGGGAGGGAGGGAGGGAGGGAGGGAGGGAGGGAGGGAGGGAGGGAGGGAGGGAGGGAGGGAGGGAGGGAGGGAGGGAGGGAGGGAGGGAGGGAGGGAGGGAGGGAGGGAGGGAGGGAGGGAGGGAGGGAGGGAGGGAGGGAGGGAGGGAGGGAGGGAGGGAGGGAGGGAGGGAGGGAGGGAGGGAGGGAGGGAGGGAGGGAGGGAGGGAGGGAGGGAGGGAGGGAGGGAGGGAAGGAAGGTCTCATTAAGGAGGGAACAGGATGAAGGTGATGTTACGGCTGCGGGCGGGCGGGCGGTGTCACTTCCTATCCCGAACGGCGGCTTATCTTCCCTGTCGGTGGCGTTGTGACCGACGGTTCCGCGGTGACGTCACGATTTGACGTAGGTGCGGCTCGTGTTCCGTTACGGAGAGCCGATTTTATGACGCTATTTGGGACGTTGATTTATTTTCTTCCTTTCTCTTATTCTCAGGATATTGATATATTGTTTGTCTCATCTTTCAATTCTTTTTTGGCCTGCGTCACCTGCGTGGCCGGCGCGACGAGTGCGGGCGCACCGGACGGGCACGGCGGCCAGGGAGCAAATGTCACTTGGCTGTGGCCGTGACGCGCTGCTGAGTCACGCCTCTACCCCTCCCTCACCCCTCCACCCTCTACCTCCCTCCTCCCGCCTCTCTACGCCTTGCGCCCCCTGTTTGCTCTACCTCCCTTCCCTGTAAGCCCTACCACCTACGCTCCCTCATTGCTCTCTCTCAGCCGAACTCCCCTCCCCCCTACTTCCCCTACTCTCCTTCCTCCCCCTCTTACCTTCCTCCCCCCCTCCTTCCTCCCCCCCCTCCTTCCTCCACGCACGCACCTCCCCTCCCGTTGCCTCCTGGGGGGTCGCGGGTCATGGCGTGAGGGGGAGGCTCTGGTCTACGCTTTTGTGCCTTTGTTTTTTCTTCGTCCTTTTTATTTTTCGCTTGCTCTTTAGTCGCCCCCCCCCCCTGGTTATCCGGCCATTTGTCTTCCTAACTCGACTTCTACTTTCTGCTTCTCTCACACGTTTTCTCCTTCTTTCTCTGTCTCATTACCCTCCTCTTCCTTTCTCCCTCCTTGTCCCCCTTTTAGCCGCCTTTCACCCTCTTCCTCTTTCTTCCTTCCTTGTCTCGCTTCCAGGCGGGCTGATCTCGCGCGGTTAACAGATCGCCTTCGTTCATCATTTCCCCCGTTTTCGTTCTTCCTCCCTTCCTATTGTCCTTTCGTCCTTCCTCCCTTTCTCCGTTCCCCCTCCCTCCCTCCCTCCCTCCCTCCCTCCCTCCCTCCCTCCCTCCCTTCCTCCCTTCCTCCCTTCCTCCCTTCCTCCCTTCCTCCCTCCCTCCCTTCCTCCCTCCCTTCCTCCCTCCCTTCCTCCTGATTAATGGTAACAAGGAATAGAAAGTCGTGCACGAGTGTCGGCGAGCGTAGCGTCGGCAAAACGCGTGCCGAGAGAGAGCGCTTCGGCCGCAGTTGGTTTGGTGCTGCGTTCATGTGCTTCAGCTGCCTTTCGTGCAACGTGACTCTTCTCTCCTCTTCTCTCCTCTTCTCTCCTCTTCTCTCCTCTCCTCTCCCCTCCTTTTCTCTTCTCTTCTCTTGAAATGGAACTATTGTGTGCAAAGTTTCGTGGGCTTTGTAATGGGCGTTGTGTGGGTACCATCAGGAGAATTACGCGTAGGAATATGATCTTCAGTTGCTTCTCTTTTGAAGTGTGACAGTAGACAGCTTACTCTCCCTCTCCCTCGCTTCCCCCTCTTCCTTCTTCACCCCTACCCTCTCTCTCCTCATTTCCCTCTCTCCTTTCTCCCTCCCCTTTCCATTCCTTCCGCTTCTTTTCTCCTCCCTCTTTTCCCTCGCCCAATTTCTTCCTCTCCCCCTCCTCCTCCTTTCCCCCCACCTGATATCTTCCTCTCCCCCTCCCTTTTTCTCCTCATCTCCCTATTCCCTGTTTCCCCTTCCCCCTCTCCCTGGCCCAGCCCAGCCTCAGGAGCGCTGGATTCTCCGGTCGTTGATTCGGCAGCGAGAGGCGAGCGTGCGAGCGCGCCTTCAACAGGTGAGGCGGCGCACGGGCGAGACACCTGTGCAAATGGGCCAGGTGCCGTCCTCCGCCGCCGCCGGGGTTCCGGGTGGGGGGATTTAGGGGGGAGGGGGGTGGAGAGGAATAGGGAAAGAATGGGAAGGGGGGTGGGAGGGTATATGGAGGAAGGGTGTAGGGAATAGGGTAGGGAGTAAGGGAGAAGGAACGATTCAAGGGTGTGAAGCAGGCAGGAATGGGGGTAGGGAGGGATGGAGGGGGGGGGTGAAGGAGGTTAATGAGGGTGGGAGTGCCGTGGTTTCCGCCAGGTAAAAGTCGGTCTGTGCCGCCCGATGACTGTGAGGACAAGTTCTTCACTGAGTCACCATCGAGTGTCTGGAAGCGCGGGGGGTGGGGGGAGAAAGGGGGGTGAAGGGTTGGGGAGGAGGAGGGTGAAGGGTTGTGAAGGATGGGGGTGGAGGGTTGGGGAGGAGGGGGGTGGAGGGTTGGGGAGGAGGGGGATTTCCTCGGTGATCTCGGAGAAGATGATTAACACGGGGCGGTTGATGACGGAGACGAGCTTTTTTATTTCATTTACTTATTCTTTATTTTTTATGTATTCATTTATTTATTTTTGCGGCGGAGTTTGTTGCACGGAGCGAAGAGTTTCGAAGTCATTTATTCATTTATTTACTTATTTTATAATATTCCTATACCCCTTATTCTTTTAATTTGTTATTTTGTAATTATTATTTTATAACTTATTAGTTTTTTATGTTCACTTTTATTCTGCTTAATTTAGTTATATATATATATATAGATAGATAGATAGATAGATATAGATATAGATATAGATATATGAATATATATATATATTTTTTTTCTTTTTCTTTTTCTTTTTTTTCTTATTATTGGGGGGGGGGGGTGCATTAGGGGCGGCGGTGCCTGACGTTGGCGCGATGTGACGCAACGTCGTCAGCAGTGAAGGCGGGCGTGGCGGGGCGCCGTGGGCCGAGCTCTTGTAGGATGACGTACTTATCGCGGCGTGCGAGGGCGTGGGCGTGGGTGGGCGGACACCGTGGATCGTGGGTACTTGGAAGTACTTTAGTGAATATTGCAAAGCGTCACTGGGCGGATTTGACGACGAGGAGGGGAGAGAAGCGAAGCAGGGAAGACGAGAGGATGAAAGAGCTGGAAGGGAAAGGAAAGAGAAGAGAGAGAGAGAGAGAGAGAGAGAGAGAGAGAGAGAGAGAGAGAGAGAGAGAGAGAGAGAGAGAGAGAGAGAGAGAGGGAGAGAGAGGGAGAGAGAGGGGAAAGCGAGACCGCGTGTGAGAAGAGTTGACTCGATAGATATACGGATAGATAAGAGGGAGGGGGGGGGGCGGAGAGGGTCGTGGGCTGAGTCACCAGCAACAAGGTGGTGCAACAAGGTGCAGATCAATGGCTACAGGGGCGGGCTGCTTGTAGGGCGCGCCTAGTAGGGCCGGGTCGTCCACGGGGCTGCTCGCGCTCCGGAAGGGACGCGGGTTTGCGCTGCGCCGGCCGGAGCCTCTCGCTGGTGCACTCATTCATTCTTTCGTTCGCTGGCCCATTCAGGGTTTTCTTGCACTCGCCAGAAAAGGTGCTGCGTCATGGAGGAAAAGTGTTCATGCCTATTCTCTCATTTCGTCTTCTCATTTTAGGGCTCTCACTGTTTAGTCTCTCTCTCTCTCTTCCTCTTCCTCTTCTTCTTCCTCTTCCTCCTGCTCCTCCTTCTCCTCCCTCTCCTCCCTCTCCCCCTCTCCCCCTCTCCCCCTCCTTCTCCCCTTCCCTCAAACCCTCCCTCCCTCTCTCCCTTACCCTCCGACCCCTTTTTACCCCCCCCCCCCCC